CCCCAAAACCCCAAAACCCCATGCATATTAAGATCTAAAAATATTAGGGATATAGAAAATTAAATATTAATATTTCAAGATTTATAGCAAGATGCAGAACAAAAATAGCTCTACATTTTTTAGTTATTAAAACTAATTTTCAATTGATTCAGCTTAGCCAGTATTAAAATAATCCTCATTCTTTTAGAATGCTATCTAAATATGCTAATGAAAGAATTCTATCTTCAAAACATAAAAAATAACATAAACATTGATTATTATTAGTCTTCTTTGTAAGTAAACTATGCCTTGACCTAATTTAATTTATTTTAGTGAATTGCATTTCAGCAGAAATTATAGCTTGTGATTTGTATAAACAAACAGTAGATATTCAAAACTATGATTTATCAATGATACATTTCAAAAGCTAGGATGAAGATAGTAAAATGTCTGCAAAAGATTCAATAATGATAGAATTAGATCAGGATATCTATTAAAATCTCAGTAATCCTTAAAAATGCGTTTGCTATTCTGAAAAGATTTACAATGATGAAGAGTTTTTAAAGCTAAACTGCAGTGTCACTGAGTAAGACATGTCCTTAGATTTATCAGAAAATGAGCATATGGGTGTCACACACTTTGGAGATAATAAAATTAAAACAATTGACCTTTATCGAGGTAATCTGAGAATTTAAAAGCTCAAAGTATCTGAAAATTAGTAATAAACTCTATTTAAAACCAATGGCCAAATAGTAAATTAACACAAGTTTATAGCCTAAAGGATAGATTAAAGTAATGCTCAAAACAATGATTTATATAATGAGAGCATATAAGTTGCTTAAGCTTTGAGAGAATTATAAGGATCTCAAACTCAAACTTAAACTAACTCTTTACAATCTTAAATCACTTCAATTTCAAGCTATGTGGTTAGCAATACCTTTTCTAGCTATACTTTAAGTTTCTGGCCGAAGGATGTGCTATCAAGCAATCACAATGTTGAAATAGGATTTCCAATCGAGTTATAGTTATCAGCTCTACTTATATAAAGCCATTAAGTATCAATTTTTATAGATAGTGTTGAAAAGGTATAATCTTAATGCGCTATTAGTAATGCATATGATCAATTGACCATTACTTGCAAGAATTCTTTTTCTTCATCTTTTACCAATAAACTAGGAGGAGAGGTAAAGATAATGGTCAAATATCTTAAAAATCCTGGTACTCTTAATAAAACTAGCTCAATTATCGTATCAATACTTGATTTGAATGGTAAAATTATAGAGTAAGCATCTAAAGCTCTAAATGTTTAAATGAGATTTTTAAAGGAACCAACTTCTCAATCACTTTAAATCTAGCCCAATAGCCTTGTTAATGGAGATGTTACAACTTACAAAATTTCATTCGAATCTCAATTTCTACTTCTTGATGGAGATTTCCTTTCATTCTATGTGCCTAAAGAAATTACATTCCCTAATGACATGAAATGCATTTCTAGCACAGAAAAAATGTTTACTCTGAAATGTATTATGACGAAGGATAGTAAAGGAGTTAAAATAGAATCATACTTTTAGATACCCTAAAAGAGTATTGATATTGGAAAAAATATAAGTATTGAATTTGGTAATATTTTGAATCCATGGAGTACTAAGCCTACATCTAACTTTTAACAAGTAACACTTTACAACAAAGTTAGAGACTTAATCTTTGAGTTTAAAAATAGTACTAATATTTCAACTAAAGACCCTGGAAATGTTACAAATGCAAATTTGACAAACGGAGAGATTAATTAAGACTTTGAGACTACATACGTAATTGATTTTTAAAACAAGAACAAAATGGAAGCCAATTTCACATTCCAGGTAACTTATCCAGAAAATATGATTATTGAAAAAAATTTAATAGATTGTAAAGTCTTGGTGAATGGAATCACTTATATCTATCAATGTACAGTTAATTAAGAAAATAATATAATTTCTCTCACACCAGAGATTTCAGTACCAGCTATTGTTTCTCGCTAAAACTTGTCGATAATTTTTGGAAAAATTGTAATTCCTATAAATGATTATTCAGATTCAGATTATGGATTTGGTTTGCATAGTTATTCTGATTCCTTATTCTAATATGAAGTTGATTAAATTGATAAAAACCTTTTAAATTTATCAGATAGATGCATTATGCCTTGTAAAAGTTGTCTTCCTAATAATTAGAGCTTTTGCCTTTCTTGCTACACAGATAATCCTGATATTTAGCAGTAGCATTTTTATAAGAATTAATGTCTGAATTAATGCCCTTCTGGATTAGTCCCAGGAGAAAATCTTGAATGTAAAGAATGTGACTATAGATGCGAGTAATGTTCACTTGTTGGAGATTGTTTGAAGTGTAAATCAAACTATCCTTTTTATCTTGAATCGAATGATACCTGTTTAGACTAATGTCCTGAGACCTATTACATAGATTAATAGAACTTTTGCAATTAATGTCTTGATGATGAAATCCTTCTCCCTACTGGTAAATGTGAAAAAAAGCCGAAAGAGTCATAAAGTAATTTGTAGTATCTATTTTTCTTGATTACTTTGGCTTAAATAGTTTCAGCAAGTGTTCTAGCTTGTAAAAAGAAGAAATACCCTTTGATGATGCTGACTTATAGTATCTCAGCAGTTTGGGGTATCATTGAAATCATTTCTTATCTAGCTTTAATAATAACACATTACACAATGTTTGAATCTAATGATCTGAGCTAAAATCTTTAAATTTCTGATGATTCAGTAATAGATAAGTTGACTTTATCTCTGTACATAGCAGCTTTAGTTTTATTATTCACAACTAATATGTGGTTTTACATAGTATACCTTGATTACATTAAAGTAGATGTGATCTTTGATAGCATAAAAAATAAATTTCCCAAGACTTTAAAAATGATTTGCTTAGTCTCAAGCGCTCTAACTTTCAAGTTTTCAACTATTTATTATTCTTTCTTATCAAATTCAGAGAAATTCTAAATTCAATTTGAATCTTAGAAAATTCTTGATTATCATTACAAGATGCTTGGCTTAAACTTGATAACGGTAGGTTTTATGCTTGTTTCAAGCATCCTAAACTTAGTTTATTACTATGAACTTGAGTATTTATGGGTTATCTCAATAGTTAATCTGCTACTTTGCATAAGTATTTTAATTCTACAGATGATAATTCTCTTCTCTATCGACAAAAAAGAAACTTTTAATAAAAAAATCCTTAACGATACATTCAATTCCCCAGATAAAAAAATAAAAGATGAGGAAAAACAAGGAATGAGAGATTCAGTTGGAAAATTAATTAGGCTAGAGAACAAATAGCATAATTAAAACAATCAAATTCCTTAAGTTTTTGGAGTCGATGACACTCCACAAGATCCATAAAATAATGTTGGCTAGGAAAGCGAGGATTAAATAAGATTAAGAAAATTACCAAAAATATAGGATGATTCGGTGTTGGATGAATATAAAAAAGAGAAACAAAATGAATAAGTAAATCCTGCTCAGATTAATATTTAGATTGATTTAAATATAAATGGATAATCTGCTTAAATTAAGAAATACTGATTATATTCTATAGAGCTTAAAAAATAAACATTATGCAGTATTTTTTGAGAAGCTTTTAGTTTTATTTAACTATGAGATTTAATAATTGTTTATCTTATTATTATTTGATATTATTTCTCTCATGGGGTTTTGGGGTTTTGGGGTTTTGGGG